CTAAACATGGTATATGGAGAGTGTGGCGACTGCTTGAACTGCTGCACTTTTGTTTAGAGTTTTATATTGAAACTCAATCGGTTAGTCGATAATATAGAATCTCATTGTAGGCTTTAAGTAGGCGAGCAGACCATCAGCCTCGTAGAAGTGTTGACGTTTAGTGCCAGCAACGCATCTTCATTTCACGATGTACTCTGCATCCTTTTTGTTGGCGCCATGATTGCCCATCTCCTCCTCACACTGTCTCCTACATGTCACCCCCTCAGGCGCACGACCAACTTTTCGTTTCCCATTCAAGTTCCAAACTATCGATAGCCTAACTTGCCATATCACTCAATGGCCTCCTCCTCCTCAGTGTTTGTCCAATTCATCGCCATTTTCTTCGGTTCTTAGTTGTTTCGTCGTGCTGCAGAGTTCCTTGTCGCTAATCCTTTCATACTTTCATAGTGTGTCTTCACAGTAGAAAAATTCCAAAATGTTAATTGTTAAGCCCTGTTTCTTCTGTTTCTGGCGTATAATTTCGATGAATTCAAGATTACATACATTGGAAACAGCTGGGAGTACTGCAGATATTTGTCCTAGTTTGGAACTCTTCATCGGTACGCACGTGACGGGTGAGTACTGACAAAGAGGTCCAAACTAGGACGAAATATCTGTGCAGTACTCCCAGCTGGTTTTCCAATGGTCCTCTAACCGATATCAATTCATGATGAAATCTAGAAACCAATCGAATTTCTGCGAAGCAACACATGAATTTTGATGAAATTTCACCATACTACTCAATAGTAGACAAAACTCTAAACTCAAAATTGTTTATCATCGTAATCACAATGCCTTTGAGTGATGCTTTTAATGATAGCCAAAGAATGTTTCACACTGAATCAAACGATTATTATATTGGCTTATTACTGTTATGTAGCTTTTATACTATGCTTAGGTTTGAAAAACCTGTATAAAAAACGTAGTACGATGGAGGGTGAGCAGACTTCTGTCTTCCTCTCGCAATGTTTTCATGTGAATACACGCGTTCGCCGTCCGTGTCAGGTGACTCTTATTCACTGTCTTTACGCGACAGAATGCGTGTTCCTCAAAAAAGTGAAAGAACTAATGTAGACGTCTGGGACTGATGGATATGCAGGCCTACCTGGGAAGGGGAGTTAGAAAACGCTGATTGCAAACCTATGTGGTGTACATGGTGTACTGCAGAATCCGAATGGATCCAGTGACAGCGTAGAACCTATATTCTGGTCAGTCGAAACCATTGGAATACAGCTCCTAACTCTGGTCCACTGCCCTGTGGATCAGACGTCAAGACAAGGATCAGGGTGAAGAGTGGCTCTCATAAGACAAGACAACCACCACCTGTTTTGGTCTCGGCGTCGCTGTAGTAAGTTGCATCCCAGTTTGGAACTTTTTAGCAACACACCCACCGGAGTTCGAACCCAGGATCTTCCAGCTGCATGATGAACTGCTAAACCACTAATCCACTGGAATCAGACCCAACGGTCCGTGAATTCCAACTTGTACCAAATCGTGATGTATGTATATAGTGCAACCGCCAGCCGGTGTTATAGGCGACTAATTGTCCCCTTGCCTGATTTGGCGGACCCCGCTGGTTACGACTCTTCCTGTAACCAATCAAATCCCTACAAACCAACAGTTGATCATTATTGTTATTAACAATATTAATGCTTTTTTCAAATAACATCGAATTAATACGATCAGTTGGATTACAGTTGAAAAGCAGCTGTAATGCATCATCCTTTGTGCATCAGTATAACGCTAAACTGAATATATCAGGCAAATTAAGGAAAATATAATAGAGAATTTATAAGTTTCACAACTGGTCAGCGTAGCAATAGTGGCTGGTTGGACCTATTTGTCTTGCACATTTAGCGAACTCCAGTTGTTTTATGGGAATTGCAATAGCCTCTGATGTTTTTTTGGTGGGGGGTGTTGTTCGGTATTTAAGCTAGCCAACCACCCCCTCTTGTAGCTGTCATTCTAACTGTTCTCCTATGGAGCCAGTAATGTTGGCTGTTTTCTTCCAGAGACTTAGCGATTTGGTGTTGGAGAACACCTACCCTATCAGTGGTTTGGCTAAATAAGTGTATATTATTAAATCTGCTGAAGAAGTCGTGGCTTACACAGCGAAACGTTCAGAAAATCTTGTTTTGTTTTTCTTAACACGCTGGGATTAATTTAAATAATTTATAATGAATCAATCTGACTCGGCGCTCAAATTATTCCAGGAAGTTCGTAACACCTACGGTCTGGAAACTTACAAATAAGGGTATAGTTAAAACTCTCAACAGTTTTATATAATAATTAGATCATCTCATCCAAGTAGGCCACAAAGATAAGCTAGCTAGCATTGAAGAGTCTTTCTCCATCATCTATCGGACATCGAATAAATCCCCAAAGGCTTCTGGATAATACTGAACACTCCAAAGAGCACAGGCCACAGCGATTGGCTTAAAACAACTAGAGGTATGTGTGTGTGTGTGCAAAAGAAATAGGTTCAACTGCTATTTCTTCCCTGACCTTTTGTGGCACCTATGAATTCATAAGTTCTTGCATTACTTCCCTTGATTTATCTGATATTCACTTTATTGTCATATTGATGCATATAATCACACTTAGAGATGCTCTCGAACTGTAATCTAACTGATCTACTGATCAAGGCATTCACGCTACTCGAACTCATGCAGTGAGCCAGGTGAGAGCCTACGGAGGAGTTGTTATCTGAAGTGATTACAACCAGTGGTGTCCGTCAGAGATACCCACTGTCCCCATAACTTCTGTTTAATCTCATCATAGATGTATTAATGGACTTAACCCTAACTGACTTCACCGACTCAGGGATTGACTTGTTACCATCAGGGAATAATCTCGTTGACTTAGAATATGCAAATGATATAGCCATCCCTCCAACATGAAGACGCTGACAAAATGTTCAGCAGAGTCTTCTGAACACCTTGAGCTGTGCAGCAATCTTCGAATGTTTAGCATGCGATTCGCTCCTGCTGTCAAATGTAAGATGATGATGCTACAGGACTGGACTGTACCGACTCCTAGCTTGAAGATAGAGGCGTAAAGTGGTTGTTGAGCGCGTGTTGACCACTTCACTTATTTGAAGGGAAGTTGCATCAGCCAACGCCAGCGGGTTGATCGCTGACGAAATCTCAGCATGAATACAGAAGGCTAGTTTCGCATATGCCAGCCAGCTTACGCCATCTCTGGCTTAGTAGACGTGATATCCGGTTGGCTGTCGACCAATGGACGCGTGTACTGCACAGTAGCAGTTCGCTCTGACTTCCTTTATGGCTGGCTGTGAATGGGATATGGCCATTGAAAGTGGAAGACATGAAGAGGCTGGCTAGCCGTCTTTGATCATAGATGTCTGCGTTCCATCTCCTGTGTGTGTTAGGTGGTAGGTGTAATCGGGTGAGGAGTAATATTGAGGTTAGGCATCGATCGAGTGGTAGGCTAGGTAAGGAGGGAGGGGAAATCAATCGACTAGGTGGTTGTGAAGCAGCTGCATCGATTGGGAGAGATGGTTAGGACATGTGTTACGCATATGTTATGTCTAGCCATTGCCTTCCTGGACAACGGACAATGTCAGCTGCTGACATAGGATCGATCAGGTTGGAAAAGTGTCAGCTAGTGGTGGTGATAGTCCAACTAATACATGGCTTCACCAGTCAATGAAATTCATAGTAGTCAGTTTCAGACGGCCAGCCACGTAGGGAGGTGTAGACTTCCTGACTGACTGGTTGGGGTCCTCGGGATGGTAAGAAACAATGATGGCTGGAGACAAATGTTGATATGGCTCAAAGTCATCGTTGTCAATGCCTTGCTCGGATGCATTTACTCTTTGTGATTTATAATATCCAATAAAATTCCATTGTTCTTCCTTATTACTATTGTTTTTCCCTCAATCACATTTCTGTATATTATCTGTCTATCTCTCTTTTGAATCTCTTTTTACTCTCTTCTTTTGCTTTGTGTGGTACATGGAGCGAGAGGTGCAAATGGAACTGGTGCTCACTTGTGCTGTGCAAGGTTCCACGTTGAAACCAGTTAGTTAGCCACTAGGTCATAGTTTACATTACCCATGAATACTACTATTATTATTGTTATTGTTCCCTTGGGTTCCTAGTGGAACATAGGGCTTCAACTGCACGTCTCCACTTGCTTCTGTCTTCTGCTGTACTTTTCACCTGCATCCATGTTAGTCCATACTGTTTCAGCTCCTCTTCACACGATCTCCTCCATGTCACCCTTGCACGTCCCACTCGCCGCTTCCCTTTCGGGTTCCACTCGAGCACTGGCCTGACGTGTGATGTCACCCAGCGGCCTCCTCAGCGAGTGTCCAATCCATCTCCACTTTCTCCTGCATATTTGTTGGGCGATTGGTTCTTGTTTTGTTTCTTCCCATAGTTTCTTGTTGGTGATTCTTTCCGGCCATCTGATCTTCAGTATAGAGCGAAGACAGTTGTTGATAAAGGTCTGCAACAGGCTGTTGGAAATATTCTTTGTGACCTGCCAAGTTTCTGATCCGTATAGAAGAACTGACTTGACGTTTGTATTGAAAATCCGAATCACTTTGTTGTTGATGCTGAGTGACGAAGATTTCCAGATTGGTTTCAGGTTGATGAATGTGTTTCTCGCCTTCCCGATTCTCGATTTGACATCCTCGTCCGTTCCTCCTGTAGTTGAGACAATGCTCCCTCGCTAGATAAGTGAATGAAGTAACCTCTTTCAAATCCCTCCCGTTGATGGTGATTGGCGCTGGATGTTGCTGCTGCTGAATACTAAGTTTATATTAATTCTGGCTATATAGCCCCCCCTCCTCCCTACTATCGTCAACTAAAATGTCATCGACGAGCATCCCACTTCACAAAGGTGGTACTGTTAAGTTTTTAACGAATAAATGACCTTGTCATTTCTTTGTAATTTTTAATTTTTTCTTTTCAATTCACAATTTCATTTCAATAGGAATCAGTATTATCTGATCATCAGATAGTTCAATCGATCGATGATCAGCATCATCATCATCTGCCTAACGATGAATTGAACCAATCAGAAACATCGAGTAATAATAGTAATAATAATCCCTCCTCACTGGGAATGCTTAATCCAATCGGTCAATGTGATGAAAACTTTCGTCAAAGACAGTCAGATGTTTTCGCCGCTTTGGCCAATCTTGAAGCAGCTCACCTAGAAGTGTATAAAGCGACAAAAGAAGAGCGTAGAGCTGTACGTAAATCTGCCTGGAGGCATACAACTGCAGCGCCGGAGAATTTAGAGGAAGAGAAACAACGTGTAAGTGTTATCATTATCATCATCATCACCTCCATAATTATAATTTTGTTATTATCTATTTAATTCATTTGGCGTCGGTGGCACAGCGGTTAGGACGCTCGCCGACCATGCACATGGTCCGTGGTTCGATCCCCGGCCGACACACTCCTTTACCTCGCTAAGCCAGAAATAAAAGCTGGTAAAGAGGAAAGGTTGGGCATGAGGCTAGCGACCCCATCCTGTAAAAATAAACACTGCTACAGAAACTTCAAGCCTCTAACTTGAAGCTACATGTTTCACTGGGAACGTGAAGGAATAAAAAAAAATTTAATGCATTTAAGAAATCAAATGTTCCCAATGGGAATTTTCTACGGATCTATTTATGCCTCGATGGTTCAGTGGTAAGAATGATGACTGACTGACTGGTTTCAACGTAGAACTTTGCACAGATGTGCAGCAGTTCGAGTTGCCACTCTCCCCTCCATGTACCACACAAAGGAAGAGAAGAGGGTAAGGAGAGATAATGAACAGAAGTGCTACGGAAAAGAATAGTAATATGGAAGAACAATAGAATTTTATTGGATATGATAAATCACAAAGAGTGAGTACGTACCACCGGTATACTTTTCAGTCTGGCATAACTTCCCTACTTGGGAATTGAAGTCGCTTGCTAAAACAACTGTATCTGAGCGTTTTGCGTTCTGGTTAAAATCATTTTTTAGTTCATCCGAACTTCAGTCGGTCGGTCGGGGCGTAAGTGGAGACTGTGAAAAGACAAAGATGGGTAACGCCGTCATTCCTTCTTCTAACGGATCCGTTCAGACGGACCGCACACATACAACTGTCTACTGGGATCCAGTCAAGAAGGGATTTTTATGCCCTAACACTCAATGCTATCCGTACATCTGTGAGTCCTGGCGAACTAGCTGAGGAGTCTCCTGACACCCTTAAAGTGAATTTTGCAAATTCACCTTGTTAGCCGGTTGGGGTGGGGTTAAGTGAATAACCACACTCGGGTCTTGTATGGGTGTCTCCGAGATACAACATACATCCATGGCTCGAGATGCCAGAGTTCTGTCTAGTGATGCCTGTTGTTCGATTTGGCAGAGGGTCCTGACGTTGAATGCTCCTATATGAAGTTGGCGACGTGGCTTTAAGAGGCTGTCGCGGGTGTTTCTATGGCTCTCATCGTTATTTGTGGTGACAGAATGAAATGAAGATGACTCACTAGCCTGCAGAATACTAATGACAGTAGTAGGGGAGTAAGTTGATGAAGGTGACGTGAATAAAGGAGAATGATGCTCAGGAAGGCTTCGTGTGCTCTTGGAAGTGTGTGGGTGGTTGTTACTTCCCGGCTGCCCACACCGTGGAAGTTGATTGAATCTTCGGGTACCTGAAACAGAAAGAGAGTTAGTGTTGCATGACTGCAGAGCCCAGGGGACAACTGCTTGAGGCCGACCGGTCACACACGGCCTGTATGAACTGGTTTCTTGGTTTGGTTCCGTATTAGTAAACTTACCGCCGGTTACGGACCACCGTAGGGTAAGTCGGGATGTACAATTATTCGGGTCGACCTTTTCTAGCCCCCTCAACCTCTGCAGAGTGGAGAGACAGCATAGCTGGCTGGCATGCTGGTCATCCGAGGGAAGCACCTTACTGCTGTTACATTCCTGTTCCCCAGCAGTACGACTTCGCCCACAGACCCCCAGCATATTGTAAGGGAGATTCTTACACTATGCCGGTAAGTACTTTTAGTCTAATCGCTATTCTAACAATCTTCCTGGCATGGTAGGACCTGCAGGAACAATAGTTCCAGCCAGTGTAGCTTGTTGGGTCACTGCGATGTGGAAGCCTGACCACCACCACGTCAAGGTAGCAGCTATCGGTCAGGAGGTAAGGAAGGGCAAATCAATCGATGAGTTTGGAAGCCGACAGCAATTGAGATGACTAGGACACGTATAACTCATGTCAGGCCTTCTTAGTCGAGCAATGTAATTAGGTTGGTAAAGGGTTAGGAGTAGTCAAACCAGTTCCTAAGTAGTCTTTTGACTAATGGTTTGAGCTAACCACGTAGAGAAGTGTACGCTGTTATTAATTCTAAGAACTGATGGCTGGTGACTACTGGTGACATGGCTCCAGTTGCATTCACTCTTTGCTATCTCCCATAGTTCTTTTAAGTCTCATTTCCCTCTCTTCCTTGTGTCTTTGTGTTGTACTACATGGAGTGTAGCAAGTTGAAGTGCCGCACTTCTGTGCGTAGTTCTCTTATATTGAAACTGAATCAGAGTCAGTAGTGCATGTGACTTAGTCTGTAGACCGCATTAAAGTGTAAAATATATAATCGTTTGGTGTCAGTGAGAATATGGGTAGGGGGTATCATCTGACACTGGAGAACAAAGTAGATCAAGGTGATGAGTCCCACATGGGACGAAATGTGCCTTATGGATTCCACTGCTCTTCTGTCGATACTATAAAGACTGATCTTCTTTGAAACTTTCAAATTCTGTTAATTTCGTGAGCAGAGTAATTGATCACGAACTGACTGATTTCGGTTAGAGAACCAGGGAGCAGCATTGAACGGAGCCATTTCTTCCTAGTTTGGTACTCTTCAGGAGTAGGTATTTATGATCCCACAAAGGATGGAAACCCGCGGTCCACGTTCCGAGTCGAACATAGGGCTGCAAGCTAGAGCTCTTTAAAAGTCTCGGTAGCAGTAGTCTTATTTGCACGCCCAACCTTCCCTCTTTACCGGCTTAGCGGGGTTTATGAGTGCACCCGTCGGCCGGGGATCGGACCCCGAACCGCATGCATGGTTGGCGAGTGTTCCGCCGCCGCTGCATTGAAAATTCAGCTCCTCGACCGGTAATCGAACCCAAGCCTTCCATGTGACAGGCGGAGATACTCACCTCCGTGGCACAATAGGTTGGCGCGTTCGACTGTTAACCGAAAGATTGGATGTTTCGAGCCCCCCCCCCCCCACCTCCCCGGGGAGCTAGGGATTTTGACGCTACACATCACCGAACTCACAATTCGCGTCACATGATGCACAAAATTCACTTGAATCACCCGCCTCCATCTACTCTGCTCCACGACGCGCGCCTTTCACAACAGAACAATGTTGATTGGTTGATTATATTATTATTATTATTATTATTATTATTATTATTATTAATATCAGTAAAAAGTTTGAGCATTGTGGATTAGATCAAATAAAGTATAATTATATTTCAATAGTTTACACACAATGATAAGTTTTGTTATTGGTAATATTTCGAGCCAAATTACTACTGCCCGTGTTCACACCACTGTTGGAATTGTTTGATTCACACATTTATGATTTGTACTCATATATATAGTTCATTATTTTTGCTCATTCATGTTTTTTTGTATTCAGAATTATATTCCAAATTGTTGATAGTTGTACTGAGTCACCCTTGTTACATGTATTCGGTGTGACTTTAATGAATATCGATTCTGTTATAAGTCCTTTTTCCCATTTGTTCATGTTAGTTTTTGGAATACACACATTGTTCCAATCGATACTGTGGTTTTTGTCCCATGCATGTGCAGCTATCGATGAATTTTTTTTTCAAGATTCTTGTAGGCTTGTGTTCCTGTTAGTTGACCTTTGGTTAGGCGTTTATGTTCATTCACTCTTATTTTGAGTGATCTGGACGTTTGCCCCACATATTTAGTCGGACAGTCAGCACAAGATATTTTGTAAATTACATTAATACTTTTATGCATCATTTTTATGGGATCTTTCAGTTGATTTATTTTATTTTTGATTAGATTTGTCGGTTTAAAAGTTGTGTGAATGCCGATATTTTTGAGGTTTCTTTGAATTGCCTCTGATGTACCATTTTTATATGGTATTGTGACTGTCTTTTTGCATTCTTCCATCTTGTTATTCTCCGGTTTTACCCTCTTTTTTCCCTTTTTTATATTATCTTTTAAAAATTCTTTTGGGTAGTTGTTTTCGAGTAGCATTTTGAATGGGACGTTTATTTCTTTACACTGGTCCTCCGGCGTTGTTGTAAGTCTACGTATTCTATCTGCAAGACCGTGTATTAATCCTCGTTTCACCGTGAGTGGATGAGCTGAGTGATAATCAAGGAATCTTCCAGAGTGTGTGGGTTTTTCTATATACCGTCGTTTTAATGCTACCATCTGTTATTCTTTGTATTTTACAGTCTAACATAGGCAGTTCCCCAATTTCATTCTCTACTTCCATAGTGAATTTTATTGAGTCGACATAACTGCTTATGTGCAAGAAGAATTTCTCAACATCGTTTTTTTTTCACTATTACTGACGTGTCGTCTACATATCTCCACCAACATTTTAGTGATGACCTGAATGGTTTAAGGGCATTCTCTTCCCAATAATCCATGAATATGTCAGCTATTATTGGTGAGGTAGGCTATCCCATGGCTACTCCTTCATTTTGTTGGTATATTTTCCCTTCGAATGTGAAATATTTTGTTGTCAGACAGAATTCCACCCCTTTTATTATCTCTTCTACGGATAATTGTGTTCTGTCTTTTAGGCCATTATCTTCTTTTAGTTTCTCTTTCAGTGCATTCATGGCCATTTGAATGGGTATTTTCGTATAGAGACTGTTTACATCAAAGCTGACTAGTATTTCCTCTTCCTCTATTTTAGTGGTTTTTAGTCGCTTCACTAATTCAAATGAATCTACTATTCTAGCTTTTGAGTTGTCTCTTGTTGGTCTTAGTATTGTCGAGAGAAATCTTGATAGCTCGAAATATTACTAATAACAAAACTTATCATTGTGTGTAAACTATTGAAATATAATTATACTTTATTATTATTATTATATTATTATTGATGTTATTTCTATTATTTTTCTATCTGATCACCATTTCTAAAACACAAAAATACGCCTTTTTTTTCTGATATTCTATTTAGCGCGAAAATAATCAAGTTTCAAGTAGTGGTGAAGACAGGCGACCACCGAATCCTACATTTCGAAAACCACTTGCACGTCCACCAGTAGTAGGACATCGTGCTCGACTTAATCCACCACTTCGTGATCCTAATAAATGGACACATTATAGTCTAGCTGATATTGATGAAGATGCACCGATATCAAGAGAATTACACTATCAAGATGACAGTGATGCCAATGACAGTAGTGGTATTCGTAGAATTGGTGGTGATCCAAATGGTTCAATTGCTATGGCATTGATTAATGAACTTCGACAACGTCGAAACACTGAGGATAATTCATCAGATTGTAACAGTAACACAGAAGATTTACGTCGTCGTAATTGTAATAATAATCGTATATTATTTCGTCCTACTAAAGGTCGAAAGAAAGCACGTCTTGATGATGTTGACGAGGAGAGTAGTTTAAAGCCTGAAGTCCGCTTGGATAATATTTGTATACCAAAGGTGGATGATAAAGAAGACGATGATGATGGCTGTGACGGTGACGAGCCTCAGCAGGGTAAAAGATCAGGCGATCTCTTCTCCACCACTTCATCAGCTACTACTGTAATCAATGAGAAGACGACGACAACGCCGGCGGCAGTGTTTGTAAATCGTCGTTGTCGTCAGAAAGGTCAGCTACGTGTTCGTCATACTGATGATATGTTGAATGAATCATCAGTAGGGGATCAACAGACAGATCATGATCGTGATGATGATGATGGCGATGTTGAATTCAGTGATTTAAAGTCAACAGAGCACGATGATCTTATCGATTCCGACGAAATGGAAGAGGATCCTGAGGAGGATAAATCCAATGATTATTTTGCATAAAACTTGGGGGGAAAATAAACAAAATATATAACTTGTCCTTTTTTGAAGAAAAAGCTCTCTCCCTTCCCTGTTTTTATTTTAGGAAGAGGGGAATGCCAAGTGAATTTTCAAGGAAAAACAATACCTTGTACAGAGTTGTTTTTTTTAAAAAATAAATGCAATATATAATCTCCAGTGCTGTCTCTTGATTTGAGATCACAAACTGACATGAGTTGGGGAACTGTTGATGAAACCACCAGGAAGTACTCAATGGCTACTTCATCGTAGTTTGAGACTGCGCTTCAGCAGGACGCACGCATCGGGATTCGATCCCAGGACCTTCCAGTTGCAGGGCGAACTCGTAGACCATCCGCACACTGGGGCCAGATCCAATGGCCTACGTGAATTCTCCAACTTTTACTGACTGACTGACTGGTTTCAGCACAGAACTTTGCATGGATGCATAGATGCGCACTAGTTCAAGTCGCGGACCCTGTTTACTTAATATAGTCTGGCTAAAAGCTCAGCTATCTCAGTGCATTCACCTTCATGTAATCACCCTATATAAGGAGAAACAGGTTGAAAGCATTAAAAAGTGATAAAGTAGTTAGATGGGGGGGAGTTTGGCTAATCAATCACTGGCTCTTTGTTCATCACATCAACATCAAACACAAACAATCACAATGAAGCAATACCTAAGCCCCGAATATTCAGAAAATCTCCACCAAAAAAAGCAGCGGTAAGGAGAAAAGGCCATAAATAGAAAGCAAGTTATGAATTCGTGTGAATGCGTATTGTGATATGATTATGTAAGCGACAAATTATCCTTGAAATGTAGTCAGTGGTTAGGACTCTCGCCGACCATGCACATGGTCCGGGGTTCGATCCCCTGCCGACGCACACCTGATACCAATGGTCAGCCTGAAAAATCTGGGCTACCGATATCACATGGTGAAAATTCCATACTTGTACTATACTATGTGGAATCAAGCTGTAATCAGAAAAAATAATACTATTCTATCACTCACGGTGGTTTCTTTTTCCTCGTCAAGTAAACATATCTAACATTGAATTATAGGTAATTTCATCCATTTATTCCCCTTTATGAATTTGAATGTAGGAAGAACTACAGCTTTAGCAGAATAAAATGGTACCATCATTGCTTATTTCGTTGCCTTCTCGTCAGCTGCTTATAGGGCAAAGAAATTGATAAATGTATCCACAAAAACAATTTTAACATACTTGCACAGAGTTCATTTTAAACAAAAAATCAATCGATCAATATATGCATGCAGTAATTATATATATATATATATATATATATATATATATATATATATATATATATATAATATTAAAAGCTATTCCGAACAATAATAATCATACACAATGAAAACTTTTCAGCATCTCGCATTCGGATGAAAAATATCCAGTTACCAGGGCAAAGAAAGACTGATAACCGCTTCTTTCTGGACGCATAAATCAGGTTTCAGGCGCTTGATGGAAATGGCTTCAGCAAACTTAAGGAGCATTGAGCTCTTTTGCTTATTGATAATTTTGAACGACTTTTCGATGTCCACCTCATGACCCGTGTCGAGGAGATGCCTGGCGACGACACTGTTTAAAGCATTTGTTCCCTTTAGACGTAAGCTTTTTGGTACATGTTCAGAAAATCGTAGATATGCCCTTCTTTCTGTTCTTCCAATGTAACTGCTCCCGCAGATAGTACCATTTTATTCTGCTAAAACTGTAGTTCTTGCTTTGTTCAAATTATAGCTAAGTTTGTTGTTCGATGAATAAAGAATTAGATGATTAAGTTGTCTGTCCGCCTAAGTATATTACTTCTTAATACTTTCAATGTGTCTCACTCTGCTGTGATTACATATAAGTGCATGCAAGACAGTGATTGGCCTAGCTTTCTTCGAAATGTTTTAAGTTAGCGTGGTCAATCATTTTTTGTTGTTGTTGTAGATTTAGGTAAATTTCTATGCTCCGATAATCTAATTTATCCCGATCTACTAGTTTGACTGGTCTATGTAATTGACCACCATTCACAGTCGTTACATCATGGTTGATTCCATAAATAAAAATTCAGTAATTTCTTCGAACACACCAACTCGAAGGTGGAGGCAATTCAATTCACTTGTGAATTGGAAAGTCACTCAAAAGGGGATGTTCGAATGTTAGATTGTAGCGTAAAAAGGAAATAAGATGGGAAGTTAGACAGACTAGTGTGTTTACAGGTAACCGATATCTGGATATCGGATTATCCCATCCCATTTCAGTAAAGATAGGATTGGTGAGATGTTTAAATAATAGGGCACCTAAAACTGTGTAGTACCAAGGAAAATCTGAGACAGGAAGTGAGACATATAAGAGAAGCTTTGAAACTTATTGATAATTTTGAACGAGCTCAATTCTCCTTAAGTTTGCTGAAGCCATTTCCATCAAGCGCCTGAAACCTGACTTATGCGTTCAGAAAGAAGCGGTTATCAGTCTTTCTTTGCCCTGATAACTGGATATTTTTCATCTCTCATCCGAATGCGAGATGCTGAAAAGTTTTCATTGTGTATGATTATTATTGTTCGGAATAGTGTTTAATTTTGCATATATATATATATATATATATATATATATATATATATTACTAGTGTATGCATATATTGATCGATTGATTTTTGTTTAAAATGAACTGTGACAAGTCCGTGTGTGATCAGATTGTCCGAAGAGTTGCGTAAGTACACATTACACGATTCAGACAAATTACGTCTCCTTATTGCTTTATCTAATTGTTTTAAATTCCATATTATTATTATTATTATTAATTTATCTGATATATTGAATTTAGTGTCCTATTGATGCATAAAATCACATACATACTTGTTTTGAACTGTAGTCTATTTTCTTATTGATTCGATATAATTGATTAGACATTAATGTTAATCGATTTCATTGCTGATTCTGTCAGGAAGTAATGTCGCATTTAGGGTATCATTGAAAACCAATCAACTATAGACAGTTGTATTTTCACTAGTTTAGAATGAAATTTAGTGAATCCCAAAATAAGATGGAAAATCAGAACATTTCTCTCATGTCAACAGAGGCCAAAGATTTTATCTGGTCAGTCAACGGGGAAGTCAAAAATTGAATTAAAATTAAGTGTAATAACTGACACCTACTGCACAAGAGGTGTCGGGGGCTGTCGTGCCTCAAGTCGTCTAGTGGATAACGCTTTGATGTTTAAAGCGATGGCTACTGAGTTCGAGTGTCAGCTGGGAGAACACAGGTACATCCAACTAGCTTACGAGTCGCAATAGGAGGTTGAAATGCGTATCCCGGTGGATTCCACTGTTAGTCATCATTCTGTCTGTTTTCAACATAGAACTTTGCACCGATGTGCACCAGTTCAAGTCACCACACTCCCTCCATGTAGCACACAAAGCAAGAGAAGAAAGTAAAAAGAAATGCAAAATAGACACAGTAAACAGAGATATGAGACAAAAAGAATAGTAACATGGAAAAACAATATAGTTTTATTGGGAATTATAAGTCACAAGGAGTGGATGCATCTGAGCCATTGAGAACTATGGCTTTGAGCTATATCACCAATTGTTTCCAGTCATTGGTGTTTACTGTCCCGAGGACCCCAACCACTCAGGAAGTCTACATCTTCCTACGTGGCTTAAACTAACTGTTGTGGATTTCATTGACTGATGAAGCCATGTTTTGGTTTGACCACCACTGGCTCTTTTCCAACCTGACCCTATGTCAAATAACATTGCCGTTTGTCGAGGAAGGTGATGGATGGCTAGGCATGCATTCGTAACGTATGTCCTAACTATCTCAGTCGGTATAGCTTCATAGCCTCGTCGATTGATTTCCCCTCCTTACCTAGCATACCACTCGACTGATGCCTAACCTCAGTATTACTCACCCTACTATACCACTTCACATGGGAGATAGAACGCAGGCACCTATGATCAAAGATAGCTAGTCAGCCCTTTCATGTCTTCCACTCTCAATGGCCAGATCTCACAGCCATAAAGGAGGACGGAGCGGACTACTGAGCAGTACACACGCCCTTTGGTCGATAGCCGGATATCACGTCTACGCCAGAGACGGCGTAGTTAATCATCATTCACCAAATTATACCGATCGCTTGTTCATTATAGGCAGCAGAATACATTTTCATCACAAGAAGTTGTAGTGAGGAGTTCTCACTGATAGGATCCACCACTATCACTTGTAAAACAAGCGGATGATCACCAATGATACTGGTTAGCAGTAGTGTTTTATCGCCAAACGACAGAAGTTAGAATTCACGGGATAATGCACCTGGTTCTGGGTGATTTTCAAGGCGGCCTGTTTAAAACATGAGCTACCGAAAACAACCTTCATCAATATATTGCATACATTCTCTCTGATCCAGTTTGTTTAAATCTAGTAAAATATGACCTCTAATAGTATTGTTCACTTCGGCGAGTATTTAAAGTGTTTACAACCTGTGGTTTCGCAAGTTCCTAGAAAACATGAGGGAAAGCATTATCACCGATGGCAGCTTATCCCAGTACACCAGATAACCGTTCCTGAGTGGTGGTGCCTTTGGTTCATAAAATGTTGTACTCCTGAACTTTTTATAATTGCCATTCAGCAAAATGTCGTCGCTTATTTCTCAAGAGAGACAAAGAAGAGATATCGTAATGATGGATTGGTTTCCGCTTCAAGTCAGACCACAGATGTTTACGATCTCTTTCTCGCGTTAGGTGGCATAATAAGGTAAGTAATATCGACGTTAGGCGTAGGGTGTTGGGCAAAGAGGGAAAACCAATCGAAGAGACTATAAAGTTACATAGATTGAGATGGCTAGGTCACGTGCTGCGCATGCCTAACCATCGCCTCCCCCGACGGGCATTACTAGATGATACAGGTGCAGGTTGGAAAAGAGTAAGTGGTGGCCAAACAAAAACATGGCCTCATCAATCCATGAAATCCTTGACAGTTAAACTGAGTCAGGTAGGGAGATGCAGACTTCCGGGTTGGGGCCTGCCCTCGGAACTCTAAGAACCAATGGCTGGAGACAATAGGTGACATGGCTCAAAATCGTTGTCAATGGCTGGCTTACGCAGATGTATTCAGTCTCTTTAACCTTTAATATTCCTTTCTACCATTACTCATTCTGTTTCACTCTTATACTT